GACGGTGTCCGGGGTCTGCAGACGTTTGCAGCTGTAGCCCCTGGTCCAGGGGCTGGAGTAAGGAAGTACGATACCTTGGAAGGATTAGGGCAGAGAAGAGACTTCAAAGCTGAGAGCGTCTGGCTCGGACCTGGCCCGGTCACCTGCTGCCTCTGTGTCCGGGAGCTAGAGATCTCCCAGGGCAGGGAAAGGCAGTTAAACAGATGTCGTAGGGGAGGGCTGAGCTCGCTCTGATTCTGATACTCAGAAGAACAGTTTGGAGACAAAAAATCTCCTGGGGTCTGTAGTCCGGGAGAAGCTCCCGAAGGACACGGGACGGAGCACGTGGCTCGGTCCAGAGGAGGCCGGCAGCTGGGGGAGGGCCCCACGCTCGTGGGGAACCGGGATGTGGTCGGGGCTGGGGTGCTCAGAGGCTCATCTGTAGAGATGGGCGGGAACACTTGTCACTTCTCTCCAGGTTTGGGACCCGGGGGGGTGGAGCAGCTTGGAGCTTGTGCAGAGATAAGAACTCCCCAAAGATGGGGGCAGCAGAGGGGGTGGGGGGTGGTTTTGAGGGGACGCCGCCACAGCCGCCAGGTCAGGGATGGAGGAGGTAGGACCAGAGGTCTGACAGCAGGGAGACTGCAGGAAAGCCGGTCCCGCTGACAGAGAGGGGCAAATTGGAAGGGAGTAAGCAGGGGCACGTTTTGTTTTTTTTTTTTGAGACAGAGTCTCGCTCTGTAGCCCGGGCTAGAGTGCCGTGGCGTCAGCCTCGCTCGCAGCAACCTCCAACTCTGGGCTCAAGCGATCCTCCTGCCTCAGCCTCCCGAGTAGCTGGGACTACAGGCGTGAGCCACCGTGCCCGGCTAATTTTTTTCTATATATTTTTAGTCGTCCAGATAATTTCTTTCTATTTTTAGTAGAGACGGGGTCTCGCTCTTGCTCAGGCTGGTCTCGAACTCCTGAGCTCAAACAAAGGGGCCATGTCTCTAAGAGACACCCCATGAAAGATGCAGCCGTGAGGACAGGGGAAGCCGGGTTGGAATCGTCCTCCCGCCCTTTGCCAGCCTGGTCCTGGGCGAGCTGCTTGACCGCTCTGGCCTCAGTCTTGTCGTCTGGGAATCGGCGCTCAGCGCTCGACTCACGGGAGGTTCCCAGGGCAGCAGCAGCAGAAATGACAGGTGGTGGGGACGGCAGCCCTAGGCGGTCACTGCCAGGGTGTGGATGGCCAGGGTTGGACAGTGTCCCCTTCCGTGCCTGGATGCTGAGGGGCCTGGCAGCTCCCCTTCTCGGGAGCCCCTCCATGTGCCCCGGTCCCTGCCAGCTGGCCCCCCTGGGTGAGCCGGGACACGGGGAAGGCCTGTCCCCAGGGTCCAAGGAGGTGCCGGAGAGCACCCGCAGGGAGTTCCGGAACACCGCTCAGGAGGGCAGTCGGCATGTGGGCCGACCGAGGGGAGGACTTCTGCGTGTGGGAGGGAGACGGAGCCCGAGAGCAGAAGGCTCGAGGCCCAGCTGAGTCCACTGGGCCTTGGGCTGGAATCAGGGTGAGAGGACGAGGGCCAGGCGGGGAGCAAGCAGCCCCCAGCCCCTGAGAGCAGTCACTGCCGGGTGCTCTGGCCCGGAGCACGGTGCGTGAGCGCCACGGTGGGGCAGGGCGGCCTCTGTCCGACGGACACGTGTGAAAGGCCTCTTCCCCTTCCCTCCGCAGGACGAGCCCTCCGGTGACGGCGTCCTGCTGGACCCCAGCCCGCAGCCGCCTGCTCTTCACCCCTTCCTCACGGTGGACCTGCCCGTCTGCGCCCCCCAGGTCTGGATGCCTCACGGCCTTTGTTTTTCTTACGGGGGACCGTGGCCGAGCTTCTGGCTTCCTGAGGGCTGGCCTCACAGCCGCGGGCTGGTTCCTGGGGCCGCCCGGCTGCACGGGCCCAGCGGGTTGGCTGCCGGGGCGTCTTTCTCGCCGCCTCTCGGAGAAGGCGGGCGAACGGCACGGCTGAGAGTGAAGTTCGGGTGGGTGCTTTGCTGCGGCTGCAGCTGGTGAGCAAGGTGAACGGTGGCACCCAAGAATGCTAGTTACTTCTCGTCCGGGAGGCAGGCCGGCCCACGTTTGGCCTGTGGGAGGATCAAGCCAGACGCATCCGTAGTTGGCGTAGCGAGGGGTTAAGCTGGAAGTAGGGGCCGTGGATGATTCAGAGTTGGGCACGAAAGATGCAGCTTGTCGAATCTCTGACAACCCGGCTTCAGCGTGTATGTTTTAAATCCATGCAAATGGAAGGTTTAGGATTTTTGCATTCCAATTGGGCTATTCAGCATTTCCCTTAACATCAAAACCAAATGTTGGTAACAGAACTCAGGAAAATCAGCAAGAAAAAAATCAACCCCGTTAAAAAGTGGGCAAAGGACGTGCACAGAAACTTTTCGAGAGAAGACAGACTAATGGCCAGCAAAC